ACCCACTTTATATCCAAGGACCAGTGCAAGGCTCAGCGCATGCCGGTGCTGACAGACACCTTTTCAAAGAACGAGCGAACAACCAGACGTGCGAATGGGAGCGGTGATGGAACTCTGATTTCCTGGGCAGAATAAGTTCAGCAGCAAAGCCCTGTCATTGCCCAAGCAGCTGTGGCACCGTCGGCCTGAGAGGCAGGAGGCTCGGCGCTCTGCGTATGCGCTGAATTTTGACTTCACCTTGGCTAAATGCAAGATCGGGCTCTGGTCAGCAAGAAGCCAGGGCCTTCAGCTGCCCTGTTTACAGAAGGCTTACACCATACCCTGTCCCTGGCGGCCCTTCCTTCCTGGTCTGTTTCCTTCTGCATCTCCCAGAAGTTAGCTTCACAGACCCACTTCTCTCTGCATCTTCAAGCCTGCGTGCCTTCACGCAGCTCCATCCTTGGTCCGCCTCTCCTCCTCCTGGACACTCTCCATGAGCAGCCGTTTCTGTGGCTAGGATCTCAACTGCAGAATCAGTACAGCCATCCCAGACTGCTTGCTCCAGACCTGCATGTCCATGTTCCTGCCTGAGATCGCCCACTCACCGTCACAGGCCATTCAAGCCCAGCAGGTCCCACCCAAGGCCGATTTCTGTGTTGAAATTGCTCCCCCCACCACCCCGCCCACGTACACATCAGTCCATCCCTTCATCTCGCCAGAAAACTAGTTCTCCCAAATCCAAACACCAAAACCTTCTAAATTGAGACCTCAGAACTTTTCACGTCTGTTCGACACCCCTAGTGTAGTGACAAAGACACTCCGCTGATTCTTTCTTGAGCCTCACATTGAATCCCTTGGAGATTAATTCAGTGCTCCTCCAACCGCCCTCCACACACACACACACTTGCCGTTGCTGCCCTAACTCCAGGCCCCCAGCATCTCTGGTCCAGAGCCCGGTGGTACCTTCTCCCCAGTTTCCTCTCCATCGCCGCCCAACCGCCATGCATCCTCTTTACTTATTTTCAACCTTTCTGATCATGCTCCCTCATCAGTTAAAAAAGCATCCTGAACATAAGTATATTAATTAAATTTTATCACCAACCAATCTAGTCCGTGTTAGAAAGCATGTGGAAAACGGAACAGGCCTAACTTAAGATGAAATGAATCATCCTAAATAACTAAGTTTCATTCTATTAATGGTTCATTTTATGCCTTTTTAAAATAACGAGGCTCAGTCATTTTTTTAAACCTTAATTGAACCCTATGCTTCTGGCACTCAAAGATCAGATTCGTTGCCTTCAATTCCTGGTTTTATGGGAGCATAGCTGGAAAAGACGGCTCAGAAAAGGCGTACTGTAAGACAGGCGCTACCATGTGTACCTAGGCAGGGTTCACGGTTGACGGTAGTGGATGTAAGTCCAGAATTCGCAACGGTGTTTTTGATACACTTGATTCACTGAGATCAGCGTTGTTTCCAGCCTCTCTGGGATGTGACGAAGACTGGTCCCCGGAGTGAGAGGCCTCACATGGCCATTTTCTCACGCTCCTTACATGTTTGCGTTACTGAGCGCCGTCTCCAGTCCAAGCCTTTTTGCAGATAACTTGCTAAGGACTTGCCATTTTGCGAAAATGAGTTTCGTTAAAACAGAACCCACGGACCCCCTTAACCGGGCACGCGACACAAAAGACCAACAAGTAATCACAGCAGGAGTGACGCACCTTCCGAGCTGCTGAAAACGAACGCCCCAGCCCCCCAACCCCTCCCTCGGGAAAGCCAGTCGCCGTTCAGATCTCTAAACGAGGGCCCCAGTGTCACTCAGATTTTTTTTTAACTGCATAAATACAGGTTCTAATGTTTTCTTCCCATGTCTCGTCACACCGTCTGGTGGGCCCTGGGGGTGCCTGCCCTGTTCTGAAGGCCACCACCTCACCAGATTTACCCGTCTAACGGGAAGACCTGTCACGGCTTTGAAATCTTCAGGTGGTCCCTGTGATCAGCTGCGTACAAGCCAAAATCCTGAGCCAAGGTCTTAGTAACACATCGCGAGACGTCCATCCTGCCTGCATCTCTCACGCTCCTTCACCGTCCACTCTGCGGTTTTCCCCACTTCTAAACAAGCTTGTCCCTAAAGACGCTTCTGGCTTCTTGGAATAATCAGCTGTTCCCACTTCTGCGCACTGTGTCTGTGCTGTGTCTCCTCCACACAGCGCACGTGTTACCCGGTTCACCCATGATCTGAATTTCGCACAGTTAGCGACTGTAAGTTATCCATCTTAACATCTTGTCTCCTCCCGACAGCTCAGAGCAGCCACCACCTGTTCCCTGAAGAAAAGCCCACCCCATGTACCCACCTCTGAACGTGTGCTGCCTTTCCCCACTGCTGAGCCTTTTCATACGATAAATCTCTCTAGCCTCTCCCTCCTCTGCCCACCAAAATCCTACCCACTTTCAAAGCTCTGCTCACATACCATCTCCTTTGTGAAATTCTTCCTTTATCTCATTGACTGCCCCATTACCCTCTCCCCGGGGACCTCAAAGATGTGGGCAGAGAACCCAAAACACAAAAGTAAATGCCTTTCAGAGCAGCATCAGGAAGGCTGCACAAAAAGCAGACCGTGCTCCCCAAAACTGGGGAGTAGTGTCCCCAGTCCATGGTCCTGAGAGCTTCCCGGAAGCCCTGTGCCTCCCTGTGCCCTGTGATTGCAGGACCAAGGGTCCAGCGTGTAGCTGGACGGAGGTTGATGCTCATTTTGACAAAGAATAAGGAAATAGATAGGGAGACACCCTACCTTTTGGGGGGGCAGTTTTCAGGGGTTAATTAGGGTTTATTTATTTTTTAATGGAGGCACTGGGGATTGAACCCAGGACCTCCTGCTTGCTAGGCACACACTCTACCACTGAGCTACACCCAACCCCTGAGACACCCTCCTTTTAGTCACACCAGCCTCTTAGTAAACCACATGGGATTTCAATACACAGAAGCAGCTCCCTGGCCTGAGCAGGAGTCACTGGGAAACCAGCCCCACAGAGGCCGTGGCGGTCCCTTGGTTTTCTAGCGACTCTGACCCCACTGTGCACGTAACACGGTGAGCCCCGTGCAGACTTCAGCCCCCTCGCTCCGAGAGGCAGACGGAATTGCAGGTCTCACTGTAAGAACGGGGGACTCTGACATGAAGCGGTAACATCGTTACTATCCGAGCGATGAGAGTAAAGATGGGCGGGAACAGGACCAAAGGTGACACGGCCATCAGAAAGCACCAGGGGCTGAGACAAAAAGGGCCACTCCAGCCAGAGTTTCTCCCCGTTTCTTTAGAAACACAGACTAGGGTGAGCAGGACCAGGTTGGACCGGGACGACACATACCCTTCCTGGGTCCAGCCACCACCCTTTGCTAAACAGGGATGGCAGGACCTGCTCCTGGGGTCCTTATAAATAACTCACGTGAAGTGCGGGCAGCACCAGGACACTGGGCAGACATCTGCAGGCATTCCGTTCGTACAGTGTGTGACTGAGTGTGAGTCTGCATTTGCTGCTTCCTCCTAACTGCAGGCTGAAATTCTTCATTCACATCACCTAGCCTTGGAAGACTAAATTTCCACCACAGCTGTCTCCTGTCCCCCAAATTTCTTTCCGTTTGTCCAACCAAATGAACTTGTTTACCGCTAGGCAATGCTCAGAGCAGTTTCTGGTCGCCGTAGGCTCCCCCTTGTGGCACGTCCTGGGCATTGCATGGGAGCTGGGCCCCACTTAAGGCGACTTCACCAGCACTAAGAGTGTGCCGTGTGTGGACCTTTATTTTCTGTGGCATTCCCCCCAGGTCTACGCTTAGACTATTTCTTGAGGCTCAGTTTATTTTTCCCTAAACTTGAAAATTAACTTTTGTATTCAAATATTGAGCAAAGGCCAGCTGATAGCGCTTTTATGCTGGAAGCCATCAGCAGATTGCGAAATCCTGTCTGCAGCTTGATCTTTATTTTCACAAGCATCTCTCTGGATGAACCGGCACCCATTTTTATAGAAAAGAGTCACTTCCAGAAGATGAAGCACCTTGTCTTTCCTGCTTTTCACTGGAAAGTCACAACTGCCTAGTCATAAGCAGGCCACATGGCATCACCCTTTCCACAGATGAGGCAGGAGGGGTTAGGAGTCTGCCCAAGACCACACGGCAGGGTGGAGGCCATCTGTAGGACTGCGGCGTTCTGTGCGGTCATCACAACGTGGTGGTGGTGGTGTCTCTCACTCCAAGGACAGGCCTGGGGTGGGGTAGGGGCCAGAGATGGTCACTGCATCCAGAAGTCCAACAGCACCAGGACAGGCAGTCCTCTCCCAGTCTTGGGCTGGCTGGAACTGTCGTGTCATTTTCCTTTCCTAAGGCCATCAGTGCTGCAAGTCTGCCATTCATCCCAAAGGCCCATTTAAGAGGTTTGCAAATGTTAGCCACTACCTATAAAAATAGATTGTTTTTAAGTTTCTTTTGTATAGCACAGGGAACTATGTTCAATATCTTGTAATAACCTTCAATGGAAAGAAGTATGAAAATGAATATATATGTGTATATATATGCATGACTGGGACACTGGGCTGTACACCAGAAATGGACACACTGTAATTGACTACTTCAATTTAAAAAAAAAAAAGGAAGGGGAGAAATCCCATTTTGAATAAGGAATGCTAATAGTAAGATGACCTATGTGTGCATGCGTGTGTGTGTGAAGCATACACATGTGCTCACACAGGTGCACTGAGCTAAGCCTTAAATTGCAAGATGGAAAGGATGTCCATCCTGAAAGGGTCCCAGTCTTGCTTTTCAGATTTGGTCCTTCAGTCCTATTATCCCTTCCCTGTTTTGTTTTGGATAATAAAGGAGTTTTGCCCGTAGCCTACCTGGGAGCAAGAATCATGAAAAACGAGGATTTTTCGCCTCTTCTCCATTTGACAAATTGCTATTATGCTCCTACTAAGTACTGGGATTCGGGGGGGGTTGGTTTTTGAGGGGGCTCTTAGGGGACATAATTAGGTTTATTTTATTTTTCATTTTATTTACTTATTTATTTAATGGAGGTACCAGGGATTGAACCCAGGACCTCACACGTGCTAGGCGTGCACTCTACCAGTGAGCTATACCCTCCCCCCCAGTACTGGTTTTAATTGTAAAATATACAGACCATAAAATATACCATCTTAACCACTTTTAAGAGTACAGTTCAGTGGCATTAAATAGGTCCACATAGTTGTGTGGCCAGCCTCCAGGACTGTTCATCCTGTGCAGCTGGAACTCTGTGCAAATAGCTGCTCATTTCCCCCAAACCCTGGCAAGCATCTTCCACTCTGTCTGTGAACCTGACCCTCCAGACCCCTCACACAAGTGGAATCATACAGTATTTGTCTTTCTGTGTCTGGCTTATTTCACTTTGCACGATGTCCTCAGGGTTTATCCACGTTGTAGCCTGTGTCAGAATTTCCTTCCTTGTTAAGGCTGAATAATTTTCAGCTATGTGGAAGGACCCCGTTTAGTTTATTCATCCATCCACTCATCCATCGAAGGGCCCTGTGTACCATTTTGGAGAAGGTCACCGCCTGGTTTGCTGAGATGACAAGCATTGAACAGAGCGACATGTACACTATCTTCCAACGATAAACAAGGAAGTTGCTGAAAGGCCAGAATTCAAAGCCGTTTCTGCCAGGAAATTGGACAGAAATCTCTGTAAATGTTAGGTGGGGGCAGGGAGGGAAAAGCTCGGTGGTAGAGTGCACACTTAGCATGTGCGAGGTCCTGGGTTCAGTCCCCAGTGCCTCCATTAAAATAAGTACATGATGAGCATTTTTTCATGTGCCTATTGGCCATTAGTGTGTCTTTATTGGAGAATTGCTTGTTAAGGTCTTCTGCCCATTTTGAGGTTGGGTTGTTTGTTTTTTTAATTATTAAGTTGTATGAGCTGTTTATATATTCTGAAAATTAAGCCCTTGTCAGTCTCATCACCTCACACCAGTCAGAATGGCCATCATTCAAAAGTCCACAAATGATAAATGCTGGGGAGGCTGTGGAGAAAAGGGAACACTCCAACACTGCTGGTGGGGATATCTGGTGCAGTCACTGTGGAAAACAGTATGGAGATTACTCAAAAGACTAAAAATAGAGTTACTACATGATCCAGCAATCCCACTCTTGAGCATATATCCCAAGGGAACTCTAATTCGAAAGATATGGCCACCCCAATGTTCATAGCAGCACTGTTTACAATAGCCAAGACATGGAAACAGCCTAAATGTTCATCTATAGATGACTGATTAAAGAAGCTGTGGTATGTTTATACAATGGAATATTACTCAGCCATAAAAAATAAAATAACCCCATTTGCAGCAACATGGATGGACCTGGAGATTGTCACTCTAAGTGAAGTCAGCCAGAAAGAAAAATACCATATGATATCACTTATATGTGGAATCTTAAAAAAAAAGATTAATGAACTTATTTACAAAACAGAAATAGATTCACAGACACAGAAAACAAACTTATGGTTACCAGGGGAGGAGGAGGGAGGAAGGGATAAATTGGGAGTTCAAGATTTGCAGATACTAACTACCATATGTAAAATAAACAAGTTCTACCATAGAGCACAGGGAACTATAGTCAGTATCTTGTAGTGACCTCTGATGAAAATGAATACATGTATGTATGTGTATGACTGAACGATTATGCTGCACACCACAAATGGACACAACATTGTAAACTGACTATACTTGAATAAAACAAATAAATATAACTGCATAAATACATAAAAACCTAATTACCTTCCCCCCAAAAAACAACAACAAAAATGAGTTAGGTGGGATTCCAGACCTCAAATGCACTTCCCTGAAGGACAGACCAGACTCAGAACACTGCTCTCAAGCTGTGCATCGCCCTTGGAGATCTGATTTCTGGGTCGGAACAGCTCAACATCCTAGTCTCTCTGGGCATAGTCACACAATTTGACTCTTTGTAACCATGACCAGTTAGGTTTAAGGGGTAGACTGGGCCAGGTGACCTCTTTGGATGTTTGATTCGCGGCAGAAACCTTCTGCAAAGACTCAGGACCACAGAGCCCATAAAACACGTGGGTTCAGTTGAGACGTTCACCTCAGAGGCACTGACGGGCGCAAACACCAGCTGTCTTAGGTCTGAGTCTACCTCCCACCACAGATGGGAAAACGAGGGCTGACGGCACAGTTCTGCTGGTTTGCTGACAGCCAGAGGAAAAGCAGAGATTGACACTCAAAAGTTTGCTGTTTCATCACTGCCCACTCCTTTCTATCCAATCGTTAGCTTAGTTTTCAGTGTAATCATTGTTATTTTGTAATAACCTTTAATGAAAAAAGAATATGAAAATGAATATATGTCTACATATGCATGACTGAGACGTGGTGCTGTGCACCAGAAACTGACACATTGTAACTGACTGTACCTCAACTGAGAAAAAACAAAACAAAGCTGATGGGGCCTGCCATGGCCCTCAGTTACTTCCTGGGTGGTCTTAAGAAGTTCACGCAGGGTTTTCAGGTCAACCTCGCTTTTACTCATTACGTCTCTTGCCTTTGGTCCCGCAGATCCTGCTGGGCCAGAAATACAACCATTCCGTGGACTGGTGGTCCTTCGGAGTCCTCCTGTATGAGATGCTCATCGGCCAGTCGCCTTTCCACGGGCAGGACGAGGAGGAGCTCTTCCACTCCATCCGCATGGACAGCCCCTTCTACCCACGATGGCTCGAGAAGGAGGCCAAGGACCTCCTGGTGAAGGTAAGACGGGAAGTCAAGGATGCTTCCTTGAGGTTAGGGTTAGGTTTTCTGACCAGTGCTCGCATTCAGTCGTTAGATTCTGACTCACACGCGAGAGTCAACATAATTATATTGAACCGCATTTAAAGGGGATGCTCGCTGTCTTTTTTAACTGAGGCACCAACGGGATGAATTTCAAAATGAGTATAGGACAAACCCTCACGTGCATCATGTACAAAAGAGACGCCTGGGAACCAGTTCCGTGACTCCTGAATGGCCTCACTTGGAGATGTAATTGGTCTGTTGAATGAATGCCAATTTTTGGCTGAAAACTCAGCTTGTTTCCCATAGTCCCTGTTCCATCTATCTCAGCCCACCTGAAACCATAAAGTTCCCAGAAGAAAAGAAAGGCCACAACCTCGCTGACATCAGTCTTAAGTGATGTTTTAGGGGATCCGACTCCAAAAGGAAAGAAAAGCAAAAGACAAACAAATGGGGCTCTGCCCGTGAAAAAGCTTCCACACAGCAAATAAAATGATCGAAGTGAGATCTACCAAGCGGGGGAAGACGCTTGCAGATCGTGTGTCTGATAAGGGGTTAATATCCAATATATGTAAATAACTCATGCAAATCAACAGCTAACATCTCATTTAAAAATGGACAAGAAGATCTAAGTAGGTATTTTTCTCAAAGTAATAGACATCTTTCTCAAAGAAGGCGCACAGGCGGCCAGCCAACAGGCACGTGAAAAGGTGTCACATCGCTAATTTTCAGGGACATGCAAGTCAAAGCCACAATGAGACAAACCACCTCACACCTGCCAGGATGGCTGTTATTGAAAAGACCAGGAATAACAAATGTTGGCGAGGACGTGGAGCAATGGGAGCCCCCGTGTGCTTTGCGGGGAGTGTAAACTGGTGAAGCCGCCGTGGGAAACAGCATGGAGGTTCCTTCCTGCCCCATTCCCTCCCTGTGCTCACGGGAACCACTGATGTATTGTTCACTCTGAAACCTTGAGAATGCAGGCTCTTGGCAGCAATCTCCAGAGTTTACCATCAAAGCAGGAGTCGGAACCCTGCCCATGACAGCCCAGGATCAATTAAGAATCAGCGTCCAGGGCTACAAATGTAAACCAGCTTTGGAGACTCACTGGCTGGGAGCCGGGAGCCCCCGGGCGGACCCACGCAGAGGAACAAGGAGCACCTGGGAGCCATCATGAACAATTTAGACTTAAAGCAAGGTCCCAATTTACCTTTTTCGCGGATGCAAAACACCATGTACAGCGTGAGTGTAACAAGTCGTGAAAAATGAACGTCTTGCCAATACAACACGCTAATTACACATCGTAACAAGCGGCTGCATTTCCTAAGCTGTCCCAGCAACCGTGTGGACCAGAGAGACCTGCAGGAGTGACCGAGACGCCAGCAAATCTAAAGTGCACGGGGAATGCAGGTGTTTTAAACAAACAGGGTTTGGATTTCCGGCAACTCATCTCAGCTGGGTTAAAGAAGAATCATTTACAAAAAGAGTCTGTAACCTTGCTTTTATCACGGAAAGGGGCCTGGGGTAAGATCTTTCAACATTAGACACTATTGGTAGATTTGAAATACAAACTTAGATTACCCGGCCCATCTTTTTTCACTAATCTTTTTTTCTCATGAAGAACTTACTCGGAATTGAATGTAAAGGGCAAAATACACGTCCGTCTCTCTCATACAGCTGTCGGCTTGCAACGCTGAGGCCACTGCGGGGTTCCCCCCGAGGCATCAATATCTCGAATCTGAGGTGCTGACAAAGCGCATGGGAGACCCAGCCCAAGGTTTATTGTATTTAAAAATCTGCATCCATTCCCCTCAGCTGAGGGACCCAGACAAGCCATGAGCTTGGAAGACTCCTCAAACGGCCAATTAAATTCACTTTTAATGACTGAACAAAACACGCACAGAACGAAAGTTAATTTCAAAATTAACCAGTTGTAAAAAAGAAAAAAAAACAGATGACAACAGTAGAAATAAGTTAGCGGGACTGGAATGCGAGCATGTTGTTTCCGTAAAGGCAGCCTCGGCCCGTGGCGCTGGCCGCCGTCCCGCACCTGGCCCTCGGAGGCCCTGGCTGCAGGACGTCAGCCGGCGCCGGCTGCCGTAACAGAACACCACGGGGGGGACTTAAACAGGGGTGTGTTTACTCACCGTCGTGGGGGCCGGCAGTGCAACTCAGGGTGCAGGGCGGCTTCCTGCAGGGAGCCCTCCTGGCTTGCAGGCGACTGCTTCCCGGCCGCCAGCGCGCGGCGTGCGCGCTCGGGAGGACGGAGCCACCCCCCGTGGCCCGGTGTGACCTCACGCACCCTCCCCCTGGGGGCGAGGGAGTCGGTACTCGGGCTTCAGGAGACACAGCTCCATCCACAGCCCGAGGGCTGCCCTGAGAAGGCCTGGACCGCCCAAATCTACCAGGAAAAGGAAATGAGGGCAGAGCCTGTGGGGCCGGGAGGCCCCGGAGCGCGGCTGCCTCCGCCCGCATGCAGAGCTGAACAGCCAGGCCTCGCACACCTGAGCCCGCCTACGCGGCCGGGTTGCTCCCCGCAGGCACCGGCTGAGGGCGGGGTGGGGCCCAGCTGGAGGGCATCGAAGCACGTCTGCGGAAGGACGCCGGAGCGGTGGTTTCCAAGGAGAGAGAGGCAGCCCCGGGGAAAGGGCTCCCCCCAGCTACAGGAGGACGGATGCCAAGTGGCGTGTGTGGAATATTACTCAGCAATGAAAAGGCCGGAACTGTGGCTTCACAGAACAGCGTGGATGGACCATAAGGGCATTAAGCAGAGTGAGAAAAAAAAAAGCCAGTCTCTAAAGGTCACTTCCCGCTGAGTCTAATTACGTAACAGTCTTTAAAGGACAACACTGGGGAGAGGGAAGGCAGATACGTGGTTGCCGGGGGTTAGGAATCGTGGGGATGGGGGAGTGAGTACGAGGTGGGGGGCCCAAGGGAGGTCTTTGCCGTGATAGGGCGGTTCTGTTTCCCCCTTGCCCTGGTGGGTAGCCAGACCCACACAGGTGACAAGATGCTGCAGAGCAAGACAGACGCACACTGTCAGTGCTAGTCTCCTGGTCCTGATGCCGCAGGATCATCACAGATGGCGTGAGGGTCAGGGAAACCAGGTGAAAGGCACACAGGACATGTCTCTACTGTCTCTTTCACCCTCCTGTGACTCTGTGTATGGTCTGATTATCTGCGTTCCCTCCCAGCGCCCCCCACCCCCAGAAAATCTTCCGTCGAAATCTAACCTCCAACATGATGGTTATAGGAGATGAGGCCTTTGGGAGGTAATTAGGTTTAGGTGAGATCTTGAAGGCAGGGCCATCAAGATGGTGTTAATGCCCTTATGAAAAAGGGGAAAGAGAGAGCTCTCCTTCCAAACACATGCGCCAAGGAAAGGCCATCGACAAGCCAGGAAGAGACGTCTGCCCGGGAACTGACCACGTCAGCACCTTGATCTTGGACTTCAGAACTATGAGAAATGAATGTCTGCCATTTAAGCCTCCTGGTCTGTGGCATTTTGTAATAGCTGTCCAAGCAGACTAAGGCAGTATAATTGTTTCAAAATGAAAAGCTTAAAAGCAAAACTAAACCTAAGGCTAAATACTGGAAAATACAAAAAAAAAAAAAAAAGAATGTCACCTGCAGTTTCAGAGGCAGGAATAAAGATTTACTGTGAGAGCAGAAAGTGAGTTTGGTGAATAGAGCAGAAATCAAGACAATTGAGGACGAAGACGGGGAGGAAAAAGGACTAGTTGGTGAAAGAGGTTTTAAATCCATGTGGAAAATTCTGGACTTATTCCTTCCCATGTGAGTGAATAAAAATTCTCTGTTCTTGTCCATGAAGAAGAAAGTTCTCCCATGTTCTAGGAGCAGGGCTGATAAAAATCAGTTTCCATCATGCAATTTTCTTTTTTTTTTTAATGTTGTTTTACTGGGTGGATGATTAGGTGTATTTATTTATTTTTTAACGGCGGGACTGGGGATTGAACCCAGGACCTCGTGCCTGCTAGGCGTGTGCTCTGCCACTGAGCTGTCCCCTCCCTCCTCCACCACGCAGTTTTCTGACTGTGAGACTGGCTTCTAGTGTCATCTCTGCACCTCTTTTGCTCTGTAATTTTGATCCAACAGCCCCCACATTCTTGAGCTCCCTTTTCTGAAAAAAAATCAAAAGTAGTACCATCTCTGGGAAACTTCCTCAAAGGAATTATACATAATGTGAAACCCAGAAGCAATGGGTCCTTTGGAAAAGCTAAACAACACAGCATGTAATGACATCTGTAAGTGTAGTGGTGTCGGTACCAGACTCCATCCTCTGTCGCCCTCAGAGGACCTGGATTCATGTAGTGCACTGAGCAAATGCACATCAGGAATTACAGCTGGAAAGGAAACCACACACAAAATGAAGACGACCTACTGAAAGGGAGAGAATATTTGCAAATGATATGACCAGTAGGGAGCTAATATCCAACATATACAAACAGCTCATACAACTCAACACCAAAGAAAGAACAACCCAGTTTAAAAAATGGGCAGAAGAACTGAATAGACATTTTTCCAAAGAGGAAATGAAGAGGTCAACAGACACATGAAAAGATGCTGAACATCACTAATCGGGGAAGTGCCAGTCAAAACCACAGCGTCACCTCCCACCTGTCACAATGGCCACATCAAAAAGAACACAAACAGCAAATGTTGGAGAAGACATGGAGAACAGGGAACCCCTGCACACTGTTGGTGGGAATGTAAATTGGTGCAGCCAAGGTGGAAAACAGTATGTAAAACCAGGCTTACCCAATGACCCAGGAATCCCACTCCTGGGTACATATCCAGAAAAGACAAAAGCGCTAATTCAAAATATATGAGCACCTCCTAAGTGTTCTTAGAAATGATGAACAGTACACGTTTGTAAATTTTTTAAAGTGAGATATATTGTATGTATGTATTTATATGCAGTATATTGTATAATATGTATTTATATGCAATATACTTATTGTATATGTGCAAATTGTAACAATTCTACCTAATAAAACTGAAAAATGAAAAAATAGTATAATCCCCCCAAAAAATGTGAGCACCCCAGTGTTCATAGCAGCACTATTTATAGTAGCCAAGACATGAAAGCAACATAAATGTCCACCAACAGATGAATAAAGAAAATGTGATATATATATATATGTATATATATATAATGGAATACTACTCAGCCATAAAAAAGAATGAAATTTTGCCATTTGCAGCAGCATGGATGGACTCAGAGGGCATTACACTAAATGAAATAAGTAAGAGAAAGACAAATATTACATGACACCACTTATATGTAGAATATAAAAAAATATAACAAACCAGGGAATATAACAAAAAAAGAAGCACACTCACAAATACAGAGAACAAACTAGTGGCTAACAGTGGGGAGGGGGAGGGGCAAACCACCGGGTGTCAGACAGGCTCAGGGATGGATGAACAACACGGGGAATGCAGCCATATTTTGTAATAACTGTAAATGGAAAGCAAGCTTTTAAAAATGTATGAAAATTTTAAAAAATTAAGAGTTACAGCTGGGACGCTGCTGACCAGTTGACAGTTGCCAAAGACACGCCCCTTTCTTCCTCATTTATTCACCCAGGATGTCCTGTCCCTTTGGAAAATGATGGAAAACTAATGATCTCAAACAGAAATAGCCCCTCCCTTTTGTAGAAAGATTCATCTGAGGAGGGACTAAAGAGGGAGGAAAGATTCCAGTGGCGGGTGGGCGGACGGAGTCTATCCACAGCCACCAAGCACTGCTCTCTGGCCCAGAGAGTCGAATAAATTTAAACAAACTCCAGCTGCATCCTGGCCATTGATGTAAGAGTTGTGCTTTTTCCTCTAAACATGAACCACACCTCAGACGGCTTTTATGGACAAAGTCAAGTCTTTCTTCATGAACATTGATTCTTTTGGTGCAGCCTCTCAGCGGCAGAGCCAACGACCTCCTGTAAGGTCACCAAGCATCGCCAGGACCGGGGGGGGGTGACCTGCTACAAGGCAGAAAAGATGATACTTTTCTGTGCAAAACTAGAAAGAATTTTGAGTCTCGAAGCTGGAGATCATATTATCTTGTCATTATACATTTTATCTTTAAAGAATTATTTTTTAATTTCAGAAGTATACATACCAGGCTCAGAAGGTGCTTTGTCATGATCCTCTTGGAACAAATGGCTTATGTTCCTGAAAAAATTAATGGAAAACTGAGCATGTGTGCCCTTGGCCTGAGGCGGTTACTTCTAACCATTCCCTGAAGCATTTCACTCTAGCCACGTGAGGCTGGGTTTGGGCGTATTCTTGAAGCTCTCACCCCGTCTCTCTAATCTTGTTTCATCCAAACGCCCTTCAGAAGTGGAAGTCAGTCATTTACCAGGATCATTTCAAGGGAAGGGAGATGGGGCAAGCCACTTATTCCTTCTGCTTCTAAAAAAAAAGCCAATCTGCTTTTCTATCTGTTGACTCTTGCTGGTGTCTTGAGTCTACAGAAAAATGTGTGTTACTGCGAACTTTTCTATGTGCGGAAAACCAGAGGCTAACAGAAGATGGAGAGTGAAGACATGTAATCTGGAGAAACTAAAGGGGGAAGATGGCTTACTCACACGGTCCACAGAATGTACTGACGGTTGTGTTTATGCAAGGCTCAGGGCTGGATTCTGCAAGAAACAGAACAGAAGTGGTGCCTGCCTTAAACTCTAGCGGGGAAGGCAGTCTTTGAGCATAAATGCGTATACAGTGTGCTCATTCCTCTCCTGGAGGGGAGACGGCCTGTGGAGCACAGGGGAGAGACCGTCCAGCTGCAGAGGAGGAAGGGGCTGCTGGTCATTCAGGCGCTCCTGCTGGCTGGACCTGGGGTCTTGAGCAGCTTGCTTAGCTACTCTGAGCCTTGGCTTCCTCAGCTGACAATTAGGATCAAATGCCTGCTTTTTTTTATTCTTATTTTTAATTGAAGTATAGTTGACTTATAATGTTAGTTTCAGCAAACGAGTTAGTACAGCAAAACGAGTTTGGGACCAACAGACACACATTACTGTATATAAAATAAACAGCAAGGACCTACTGCATAGCACAGGGAACTGTATGCAGTTTCTTGTCATGAGCCATAATGGAAAAGAAACTAAAAATATACATGTATGTATTATGCATGTATGTGTATGACTGAATCGCTTTGCTGTACACCGAAACTAACATTGTAAATCAACTGCACTTCAACAGTACCCGCTTTTATAATCAGTCTTTAAAATCAGGATGGTCTAGCACAAGACCTGACTCTCAAGGGATGCTGGCTGGGAAGGAGGGGGCGTAACCAACCACGTGACAAGGAACATGACCTGATGGGGAAGGAGAGCTCACCGAGAATGGAGGCGATCAAAGAAGGCTTCACGGAGAAGAGAGGGGGTTAGCTGAACCCTGCAAGGTGGTCAGGACGTAAGGGGGAGCAGAGAGAAGCAGGCGTGGATTAAGGCAAGTCCTTGCAAGATGGAAGTGTCCTTGGTGAAGTGAAGAGATAGGAAAGGCAGGTGGCGTATTCAGTGAGTGGACATGTCTGGACAGAAGAGAGGGTCACAGTGGACTCAAAGGATGACCGTCAGCATTACAGAGAGCCTGGAAGGCCAGCCTCGGGGCTCAGGGGGGTGTCAGGACGGGGGCATAAAGATCACCTTGTCTGACCCTTCATTTTTCAGGTGAGAAAATTGAGACTCAGAAAACTGGCCCCACGCCACTGGGTCATAAGCCTCTCAGATGACAGTCTCGTGTTGCTTCCACCGTGCAGTGGTTTTTCTATGGGGGTTCTTCGGAACCCCCAGTTTCCACAGAGGGGCCTCAGCGACCGCCGGATAGTGGAGGGGAGAGGGCCAGGCCAGCAGTTGACCACCTGGCTGTGTTAGGTGGCTGCATGGGTGTGTCACGCGGGCTTTTAAGAAGAGGCTCTTAAAACGAATACACGTATGTGTACGCGTGACTGGGACACCGCGCTGCATGCCAGACGTTGACACGTCGTAACTGATGGTCCCTCAATAAAAGTTCCGTTAATTTAAAAATTTAAAAAAGAAGAGGCTCTTAATCAAATAAAAGAAAAAAATCTCCACTTTGCTGCAGCACGTTAGTTAGTTAGTTAGTTGGTTAGTTAGTGATTGCAGAGCAGAGGGAGCTTTTAAAGATTTTCAGGTAGTGAGATAAATAAGGAAAGCCGTGTTTCAAGACCGGTAGGCTGGCAGCACGCAGCCTCTTCTCATTAGCGGTATAAAGCCGAGAGGTCCCTGGGTGCAAATGGAGGCCAAGTTCTGCCAGAACTTCATGGAAGAATCTCCGCAGGTGACCTGGCTTCTGTTTTCAAGACCCATAGCCTCCTTATGACACCCTGTAAGTATGAGTAAACATCTAGCTAATTAAAGAAAAAGGGTAACTCCTCCAGACCCCCAGGAGACCCAAGACTTTTCTAGCTCGCATGTCTGGACTCTCCTCACTCCTTAAAGCCCTTGACGTGTTTTGCTTAAGTTTGAAGAGTTCCCAGGTTTCTTTCCTGTCCTGGCCAGTGTCCGTTTTGACCTCCCGGAGGAAAGCGGCAAGAGAGGGGACAGTGTGAAGAAGGAAATACATAAGCACACGAGTCAGAGGTGATTAAAGAGGATCTGAATTAAGTATTAGCGTCCAGCAGGTTTGCAGGAGTGGGGAGTGATTCTGGATACTGAGATGCCTTACAGCGTCCGAAGCTGACGGTCAGGACTAGTTCCTGGTGCACGTGAAGTGAGCTTTTCCTGAGAGCAAGACTGTGACCCTAAGCAGGCAGCTTTGGAAGAAACCAAACTCCATTGCCGGGCAGTCAGCCAGACCACCACCACTTTGGTTCCTTACGCTCTGCTGTGGTGTTTTATAGACCAGGAATTAGCGC